AAAATAATAAAGCATATTTCTGTATGTGTAGACATGTAAAGCTCTCCAAGATACGTTCATTTCCCAATCAATGTCTACATGTTGCTTATTACCTTCCATTAAAAAAAAAAGAGTTACATTCTAATTTTTAAGATTTAGGACTTTCCTTTGGTACAGTGGTAGTCTGAATAATGGTCCTCTGAGGATGTCCATGCCCTAATCCCTAGAACCCGTGTTACTATATATAGCAAAAGGGACTTTGCAGATGTGATCAATTTCAGGTCTTGAGGTGGAAAGATTATCCTGAATTATCCCAGATTATCCATGTGGACCTAATGTAATCACATGGGCCTGTCTAAGAAGGACACAGGAGGGGTCAGAGTGAGAAGGCTCTGTGGTGACAGAAGTAGAGTTGGAGGGAGAAGATACTATGCCACTGGCTTTCAAGATGGAAGAAGGGGTCACATGCCACAGAATACAAGCTTTTCTAAAAGTTAGAAAAGGGAAGGGAATGGATCCTCCCTGGATCCTCTAGAAGGAATCAGTCCTGCTGACATCCTAATCTTAGCCCCGTAAGACTCATTTCAGACTTCTGACCTCCAGAGCTGCAAGAAAATAAATTTGTTTTAAGCCAATGAGTTTGTGGTAATTTGTTATAGCAGCAATACAGAACTAATACAGGTACCTTGAAAAGCAACAGAAATTAAAATGAGCCTAAAAGCAGACTATTAAATGCAAATGAAATGCACTGTTAAAAATTTCAAGAAGTCAGAGAAGATTGTGAGTTCAAATGTTTTCGGGAAATACCTTAATGGTTCCAGAAATGAGCTTGCTTTACCTTGTCTTGGACTTTATCTAGGAAAAAGATGACCAACCCGAGAGAGCTGGTGGGACTGTTTGCTTTGGAAAAATGAGCTGGAGAAAACAGCAGACCCTCCCATAAGCACTCCGTGCATTTTTTTTTTTAAAGGAGGTGGTTTTCCTGTGGAGGCAATGGCAGAAGCAAGCCTGAAGGCTGAGAAAACAAACTGAAGTAGTTGTAAGAGGAAGGAGTGACAAAGAGGCATCACGGAGCTGGCAAAAGTAGAGCTAACAAGTTAACTTTAGAAATAAGTAAATATATTTAGACTCATGGGTTCAAACTTCTTACTGTCTGAAAGAGGGAAGGCTGGGAAGAACCCTAAAGTGCTGGATTAGAATGAGAAATGCTAGGTTCAAACACACACACACACACACACACACGGAGGTATATACAGTTACAGATCTATGTGCATATATATCTATAAATGTATGTACATGTGTGCGTGTATTTTTCCCCTAGCTTTGCACTCTGAGAGGGCCTAGAAGCAATGACACCCCCAGAAACAATGAGTACACTGTGCACCATTCTCCACTAAATACCATTCTCTGCTATAATGAATCAGGGTTCCTTGGAGAAATGGATGATCCTAAGCCCTGAGGCAGGCAAAGAGCAGGTACGCTGGTGCACATCCAAAGGGCATAGAAGTCAGCTTTTACAAGCTCCCACTAGTCAAAGATAGGGCAATTTGAATATTAATACCAATAAGGAGGATACACCAGCCTGGGCAACATAGGGAGATGCAGTCTCTATTTAAACAAATTAGCTGGGTATGGTGGTGCACACCTATGGTCCCAGCTACTTGGTAGGCTGAGGCTGCAGTGAGTTGTGATCATGCCAACACTGCACTCCAGCTTGGGCAAGAGTGAGAACCTGTCTCAAAAAAACAAAATAAAATGGGGTTTACCATGTCAGAGTATCTCTTCCCAAAGTACTAATCAAATGCAAAGGGAAAACAGGTGACTGTGGAGAAGAAACCTGGCAGATATGTGCTTGAACAGGTAGTCAAGGTTCACGTCACCAGGGTGGGACAGGTGACTTTCATGAGTGTCCATAGGCAGTTTAGAAGACCACAGCACCATTTCTGTGGTCTTGCCGCCACGAGCACAGCCTGTCTGGTTAAAAAAAAAAACATCAGCCAGACCCAAATTTAGGGTCTTCCTATTAAATGAAAAGCCTCAACTCTAAAACTCTGACAAAAATGTTAAATGAATAGAAAAGCTCTTCCCTAAGCTTATAAATCTGGTATCATATAGCTAAGATAATCAGTATCTTATGGTTTTCAAGAACATTATTTCAAACACTTTATCTACTTTTAAGATTATGTGTCCCAACTTTTTGCTTCAGAAATTTTGCCAGTAATTCTAAACACTGACAAAGGGAAGTTATGATTCTTTAACACTGATTGGCCTGGCACTGTGGCTCACACCTGTAATCCTAGCATTCTGGGAGGCCGAGGTGGGCCACTTGAGCCCAGGAGCTTGAGAAGAGTCTGGGCAACATGGCAAGACTCTGTTCCTTTAAAAAAAAAAAAAAAAAAAAAAAAAAGAAGCCTGTTGTCATAGTCCCAGCTACTCAGGAGGCTGAGCCCAGGAAGTCAAGGCTGCATTGATGCAGTGAGCTGTGATCCCACAACTACATTCCAGCCTGGGCAATGGAGTGGGACCCTGTTTCAAAACCAAAACAAACAAACAAAAAAACACTGATTGAGAGGCAGTATACTAGAGGAGAAAAAAGATATGTTCCCAGTTCTGCCAATACAACTTGCTGTTAGGCCTCAAATGTCTAAGGCAAGAAATTAGCTGATTTCTCAATGACATCTAAGGTCCAGTCTAGCACTAAAATCCATAAATGAAACATACCTATATATATCAGATATTTCAAGTTTATTTGATATCATGAAAACGTGCCATGTTCAAAGTCTGGATGGTTACAGACTAGCTATGCTATGTAGGTTTTGGTAATTTAACAATTTTATGTATTTTTAGACAAATGTTTGAATTCACTACTAGACTGACAACCCAGTCACCTTCAGGATAATAACGCATGCCTCTCTACTTCCACCAAGTGGTGGCAAATGCAATGTACTGCAGGGCTGCAGATCTTCACAGAAGTATCTGTTTTTAGCTGCCCTGCCACAACATTCTTTTGAATTTTCAGTTTGCTTGATTATTTTACTACGATTTTCATTCTATTTTAATATTAATAGAATTGTATTAATATTAAATACTAAAGCACATGGTGCTTAGAATCTCTTACACATTAGAATGTTCATTTCATTTATTCTTTCAAGAGACATTTGAGTGCTTGCTATGTGTCAGGCACTATGTGGGGTGTGGAGATACAATGATGAACACAAACGGCAAGGGTTTCTGTCTTTGTGGGACTTACGTCAGTCATGAACTAATTACAATAGTGACTGTCCCAAGTGTCTTCCAGGAAAGAGATACAACTCTTTGTGAAGATGAAGAAACCTGCTCCTGACAGTGATGGGAAGTTATCCCTACAGAAGTACTGTCTGAGTTGAGATAGGAAGGGTCAGTGGGAACCAACTAGGCAAGAGAGGATGAGAGGGAGGAGGGAAAAACACTGCAGACAGAGAGAAAAGACACTGCCAAGGCCTGGTGGGTGGAGGAGGCCCATGTGGCTGAAGCCCAGGGAGAGGGGCCAGTGGTTTCAGATGAGTCTTGAGAAGCAGACAGGGGTAAGCAGCTGCAGGGCTTTGCAAAGGCATGTTTATGATTTGGATCATTAATCCAAGAGCAATGGGAAGCTGGCGGTAAGCAAAAGCGGGAGGCGGGGAGGGATGGCATAATCAGCTCTGCTTTCTGAAGAGGTTACTCTGGCTGCAGGGTGAAGAAGAATCGAGAAAAGCCAGAAGAATGTGGGGACTACAGCAGGCTGAAGGTGGTAGTTCGGACCAAGGTGTCAGCGACAATGAAGAGATATGAAAGATGCCCAGGAAACAACCCCACATGAGCTTAACGAGTCAATGGGTGTTGGGGTGTGGTAAGGGTCAAGGAGGAATCCTAGGTACAATGGAAGACGGCCCAGTTGGGATTGGGAAGTGGGACTGTTTGGTCTTGTGCATGTGGAATTGGAGGAGACTGAGTGACATTAAGAAACACTGTCATGCAGCTAGCTGAAGGCGTCAAGTTGGAGAAAAGCAGGCGTCAAGAGCACATGGCTAGCACTTAAAGCTGTGCCGGTGAATCCGTGCCTTGTGCTAGATGAAGGGGCACAACGGAGAACAAAACGGGAAAAGACACTGAGCTTTGAGGATCTCTAACATTAAGGAGCTTGGGAGAGGGGGGTGAGCCAGAATGGCAGCAGGAAAAGCAGAAGAGTCGGGGTGGGTCACAGAAGCCAAGGGAGGACAGTGTTTCTAGAGTGAAATGGGGGTGTCAGTTTCAAATGCTGCTGAGAGACTGAGCAAGATGAGGCCTGGAAATGTCTCGCTACTGGTTTTTGTTTTGGCAGAGATGAAGAGGGAAGCCAGACCGGCTGAGGAGTGAGAGACAAATAACAGAGGCATTGAATATGGCAGTTCTTTAAAGCTGCTTGCCAAAAGGGATAAGGGATTAGAAGATAATGGGAAACTGAAGGGGAACGTGTGGTCAAAGGAGATTCTTTTCTTCTCTTTTGTGAGGAGAGACTTGGACATGCTTAAAAGCCATGGCAAAGAGCCAGCTGAGATGGAATAGGTGATCATACAGGAGAGGGAATGCATAGCTGACAGTGTAGAGTTTTTGGCAAGTGGAAAGGGATGGGATCCAATGCCCAGAGAGGGAGTGGCCTCGGTTAGGAGGAGGAAGATAGGAACAGATGTAAGTAAGGCTTGCAGTTTTGGCAGCTGAAGAATGAGGGGACTCCCATGTGACAGCTTTAAGTTTCCCTGTGAAGTGATGGCACAAAGGTGTGGTGGGAGATCAAATCTGAGTAAAATGGTCATTTACAAAGTGCAATCTCCTACAGACCCTCAGCTAACTGTGGCAGTCCTATTCTGTTACTTTGGTTAATTGGGGTTTTACCTGACGGCAAAAGAGAAAAGATGGGGCTAGGAATTAAAGGGATTGGCAAGGGTACAGGTGTGTAGGGACCTTAACTCCTTGAGGGCAGGGACCTGCCACATTAATGGAGATATCAGCATCCAGGTACTTACTATCAAAATGATCAGCATACGGATGATCATTTGTCTTCATTTCAGTTTGCCTCTTTTGGTGCTTCTCTGAAAAATAAAAAAAGGAAGAGCTTAAACTCCTACATGACTCCCTTCTTTGTACTGGCAAAAAGGCTCTGGATTCTTTTGTTCTTCAGGACAGTCCCTTGTAAAGCTCTTGCCATAGTTCTGTTCTAGGGGCATTGCTATATTTATACGTATGAAAGCTAAAGAGCGTCTTTACGTTTTAGCTTGTTAGCAGGATAATGCTTATGTAGCCTAGTTTATCTGGCTTAAAAGTTGCAATCTGCAAAATACACACTGAAAATACTGCACTTTTATCTAGGGAAATGGTAAAATTTATATAATCCTTAAAAAAACTTACATGAAATAATATAGAAAGGGGAAATAGCATGAAGACTGTCACGCACAAGTGGGGGAAGGGCGTACTCACGGAAACCAATTAGGAAGCAAGTAAAATAATCCAGGCACCAGATGATGGAGGCCTGGGCCAAGGTGGTGACAATGGGGTTTGAGAGAAATGGCAGAATTGTGAATCTATTCTGGGTACATTTTGAAGGAAGTGCTGACAGACTGAAGGTGAGGAAGAGAAAAACAGGACTCAAGCAGGATGCAAGGCTCGGGCAACTGGAGGATGGAATTTCCAATAACCAGGGTGTGTTACAAGCGTGGGAGGACAGGCTTGGCCTGGGGAATTATTGAGAGCTATCTTGGACGAGCTGCGTTTGAGATGCCGTAGACATCCAAGTAGGGATGTGGCAGGCAGCTGAATGCAGGGTCTGGTGTTCAGGGGAGGGGCGAGGGCTGGAGATGCACACTTAGGGCTCACTGGCATTCAGATAGGCTTTGAGCATATGAGACTGGATGAGTTCATCTATGGAGTGAGTGTACACAGAAAAAAGGCTCAAGCTCACATTCAGCCGTGGAAAAAAGTTTGTCTCTGAAAAAAGTTAACCGCTGGCTTAAGTGTGGCAAAGAAACGTTAAACGTTAAAACGCCGAGGGGAAGGTGTGGACAAACAGCCCCGAGGATCGGTGAGTGGGGGACAAACACAGAGAAGACATTTCAAAAGATTTAGATTCCTACGAGATAGGGAAATGTCAGCGCCAAGGTTTGAAAGAAAAAAAAAAAATCCAAAACAAAATAGCATCTAAGCAGAAGCAAAACCGGAGGACTAAGATTCAGAGATAAAAACCCGAAAGCCCTTCCGCAGGGCGGCGGTGAGATCGCCTCTGTTCTCTCGCGGGACTTCGGCGCGGCTCAGGGGACGCTCGGTCACCTCGGCCCAGGCCGTCCCGCTGCCCAGCGGGCCTGAGTGCGTGTGTCGTCGGGGCGCCCGGTCACTGCCGAGTCAAGGCGGCTGTTTCTCGCCAGACCGCGTCGCGGGAAGGAAACGGTGGGGCGGCAGGAGCGAGGACGGAGTGAGCCGCGACACCCGAAGCCCAGAAAGAGCGTAGGAGACGGGTCCGGCCGGGACCAGCGCTGGGGCCGTAACAGGGCACCGGGCTGCGTGGGACGACTGCTGTGAGTCAGTTACCTGCTCTGCGCGGCTCCCGCGACTGCGCCAAGTCCGCAGCGCCGGCGCGTCGCTAGGGAAACCGAGGCGCGGGGCCTCCTGGGAAACAGGCCTGCTGGGGCTGGGAGCGCGCATGCGCACTCGGGTCGCAGACGCTGCGGCGGGCAGGGGCGTCCTGGGGTTGGAGGTCAGTGTGGCCTCCCGTTTTTCTTCGGTGGAAAGAAGTGAGTTGCTCGTGTAGACGTCTGTAAACGAACCTCCCGCTGTCCCTGCTCGGGGCCAGGGACCCTGCATTCCGCCTTGGCCGCACCGGGAAAGAGGGAGCCTGTCGCTGCTTCACGCGCTCGGGCGCTCTCTCGCCCTCTTAAGGCTCTGCCTGCCTTAGGTGGCTTGAGTCAGCGGTAGGCTGCCAGCCAGCAGGTGTAGACGCCTGGTCCATGCCCTAGCGGCAGGGGACTGAGAGCACAGTGCCCCTATTAACCTCTTAAGACGTTTTTTTTCTTTGTGAAACAAAATCTCATGGGAAAAATAGGCATATTGGGCATAGAGAATTTAGAAATGTGCGGGCAAGTACAAGACAAAAGTAAAAATCACCTAGATTGGTGGAGTCATAGGTGCTTTTTAGTGACAGCATAGGCATGTGGCATAATTTAGGATGACTTACATTGTTTCCTTTTATTTCTTTACTTTTTTTTTCCTGTATCAAAGTCATGTTGAATATCCTTGCAGATGAATCTTTGAGGTCACCCCTGACTGTTTCCTTAGAATAAATTCCTACACGTGAGGTTGCAGGGCCAAAGCGTATGCTCACTTTGAGTCTTGTTTGAGACAGAGTCTTGCTCTGTTGCCCAGGCTGGAGTGCAGTGGCGTAATCTCGCTTCACTGCGACCTCTGCCTCCGGGGTTCAAGCGATTCTTCTGCCTCGGCCTCCTGAGTAGTTGGAACTACAGGCACCTGCTACCACACCCAGCTAATTCTTGTATTTTTAGTAGAGACAGCGTTTCACCATGTTGGCCAGGATGGTCTCAAACTCTTGACCTTGTGCTCTGCCTGCCTTGGCCTCCCAGAGTGCTGGGATTACAGGCGTGAGCCACCGTACTTTGAGGCTTTCGCAAGGTGGAGGGAAACTGCCTTCCAGCAACCTTGGTTCACATTGGAGATTCTCTCTTAAATTTTTTTTTGCCCATTTTATTGTCAAAAATTGGCATCTTTAATTGTATTCACTACTTCGTCAGTAGGAATAATAGATTTCTTTCCATGTCTGTAGTGCTATTTGTTCTTATTATGTGATTTGCATTTTCCTGTCTTTTGTCCATTTTAAAACTTGGCATTCATCTATGTAAAAATAGGTTTTGTAAGAACTTTTGATGCTTGAAAACTTGGCTTGTGATATACGTTGTAAGTATTTCCTCAGTTTGTCAGTTACCTCTAATTTTTTTTTTTTTTT